TTAACAAGTAAGTGTGGAAAATGAGAGAATTGCCAAAAATCAGTTTTAGTGCGTAAATCCTCTGTAGGGAAAAGAATCATTAATAATGTGGTCAGAGAGAGGGTCAAGCCACCCCTTTTACTCTCCAAAGGGCATTTCAGTTACTATGCCTTTTCCCTTTATTTCTCTGCTTGTAATAGCATCCCATTTAGAAAAGGACACAAAATGACTCAACTTCTTAGTGACTCTTGATGTCTCAGATGTTTCAGGCTGATGTTATGTCACCCGTCAGGGCTGGCAGCACTCTGGGGCCAGGCAGGACAGCTGAAAAGGGAATGAATTCAAACCCACTTGTTCTTGGAAAGTAATTTTAGCTTGAAAAAATCCCCTATTTCAATAGGASTTCAACTGGGATGCCATCAGAGGAAGCACTGGAACCAAACAGTGTGACCTGGGCTGCCGAACCAGAAAAACTATGGCAAAAAAAGTACGTGTGTGTAAAATACTCCTTGAGTCAACAAGAACAAAACCCATAATCTCTGCAAACTCTARGAAGTGCCTGTAGATACACAGAAGCAGGCACAAATCTCATTCACGGACCAGCTGCGTGATGGGTGACTTGTAATTCATTGCACATAGRTGCCAAGAATGGGCCAAAAAGTCCTGTCCTGAAACTAGGTAGGATAGAAAACAGAAAATTTAGGGTGACTTTAACAAAAAGGTCTACAAAACGGTCTTTTATCAAAAAGATCCCCAGGTCTACGGCACCAAATTTTCATTCTCTGGTGAAACAGAAGTAAAATATTTTGTCTTTCCTAAGGGAAAAAAAAGAAGTTTTAGTACTTAACTTCTGATCCTGACTCAGTTACAGGAGTGAATAGGAAACAACTGAAWTTTTTCCAGAACAGAAGTTTATTTTTTTTTCCATTGCTCTTTTGCATCTTATGCTCTTCTACACAATGTTCCTCATGGGGATAGATGAACTTTCAAGGCCATTTTGTCACCTAGGCCTTTAATACCATCCTAGTTCTTAGGATGAAGACCATGTCAGAGTAACATCCTCATCCTCAGTTTCCAGAGGCAACTCTTCGCTAAACTCCGCAATAGCCACCAACTCCGCTTCCTCTTACCACCTCGTCAAGCCAAATAATGTTCTTCAGCCACCACAAATGTCAGCACTGGGAAGCTTTGTTCATTTTGGGGCTACCATAGGCCATTGGTTAGCAGAGCTACGAGGGTTTAAACGTTGTTCACAACTTTCCTATCTGCATTAATATGCAGAATTAATGCAGCGTACACAGAATTCACTCAAAGGCTCTTATTGTATTTTCAGTTTTGCCTTTTGCTTATTGAAATTATGGCTTGTGTCTAACCGCCAGTGGCAGCATGAAATGTAACTAGTTTTTTTTTTTTTTTTGGCTTAGAATTACATTTTAGAAAAATTCTCTTTGCTGAATCAATTGGAAGGTTTTATCTCTCTTGGGATGGGGAACCTTCATAGATATATTGTAGAAGACTTTTAACGTCACAACCTCGAGGTGAGCGAGTTATCAGCCAACTAACTCATCCTCGTTGACMCCACGTATGCTTGGAACTCTTTACCACTGAGGAAGGCTAAAAGTGGGAGGAAGCCAGTGGGCGAGATCTGAATGATGCATGGGATATCGCATGAGGAATGAGCTGAGCGATGGCATGAGAGATTCTGACTCTGCTTGAGCTGCTACAGCCTTTAGTGCCTCAAATTTGATGTTCCTGGTTGTAATTACTGAAAAAAAAAAAAAAAAAAAAAAGAAAGAAAAGAAAAACTAACTCAGTTCTCTGGATTTTTTCCCTACTCTGGACAACTGCCCATCACCAGCTTGCAGCTGGGATGTGGTTGTTGCAGATGTAGCTCATCTACAGTCAGGGTGGTTCCCAGCACATAGCGTTGGTGTGAGGACACAGCAAGAGGAAGGGTTGCAGGAAAGAGCAAGGAAGAACGGAAAAGATGGGAAATGTCATCTTGTCTTGATCCARCTCTCTGTAAAACTTTCAGTAAGGCTGAAACTTTACCAGGCAGGGCAAAGTTATGAGCTACTTTGTTTTGGGTAGCCAAATGGCAACTGAACCCTGATCCTTACCTTTGTGCCTCACAGAGATAAATTAATACAAATAAATAATATTTATCATATTAATAAATAATAATTATTTTACTTATATTAATATTTTATATTTTAATATCTCTTTATACTTTATTTTATTTATATTAATAATATTTATTATATTAATAGATACGAACGTGCTGCAGTCGATGCCTCGTGGGATGAACACGGCTGCGTTGCTGGGAAGAGCTGGGTGAGCATTTCTCTAACCGGGTGCTCTGGGTCAAATGGTGATCTCACGCAGTGTGTCATGAGCCTGGCCTGAAATGTCAAGCCCTGTGTTGGGGGAGAGGGGTGAGCGGGCCAGGTCATGTCTGCTCTTTAAAAGGATTGTTTGTGGCTTCCTCCATGCAGTGCTTCAGCCTGCGAAGACCTAAACAATTCTTCTGTTCATTCACTGGCAGAGTGGCATTTTCGGGAAGACAAGAGTCTGGCATTATCTCCCTTGCGTCTGATGCTTTTCTATTTTTTTTCTTTTTCTCCTCAATGTGTTTCTTTAGAAATGCACTCGGCTTGCCTAGTTGAAGGAAGGGGCAGGATTCAATGATGTCCAATCCAGAGCAATTCCAGGATCAAAGAGGCAACAGGACCCTTAGGTTAGCTCTGTTTCTCCCCCGCTGTGCCTCCAGCTGACACTAYGACCACAGACATTGTGGGCTGTGCATTCAGTGCTCCTTGGGCACAGGAGACCTCCCAAGAAGGATATCCCCATGTGTGGGAGTAGCAAGGGCACAGGGGCCATTTAGCTGTATKTCTCTCTCAACCCTGCTACATCCTGATTGCCACCAAAGGAGTTTCACTCCATGAGAAAAGCCCAGCCCAGAGCTCATATTCTAGAGGGATCTGGATCTGCAAGCTGTTCCTATGCCCAACACGTCTGTGACTATAAGGGCCAGTTCTTATCACTGCTCTRCAGGGCAGCCAGAACTTGCCTCCCTTGGCTTGGATGAGAGAAGTAGTTTCAGCATTTAAGATAACCTCCTGCAGATGCCAGGGGTTGTTCTATCTCTAGGGAAATAAGGAGGCAGCTTTTGCAGAATAGGTGCTTTACGCTGATTGCCTCCCTTGACCTTACATAGCAAGCCCAGAAACGTCTCCATTAGCAATATTCATCCCCAGCTCCCTTTATAGTCAATGGCACTTCCATAGCATGATTCATCCCACCAAAATTAGTCCAAAAGAATCACCCTTAATGAGTGTGACTTTCTCTTCACTGCCAAGTGAGCCAAAATTTGCCCAGACAGGTATTTGCACCCTGCATTCCTGATGTTAGGGGAGATGAGCCACCACTAAGGCTAAGGAGGAGTTAGGGTTGCTGATAACCCTTTAAACTTGAGGAACTGGTACAGGCAGCATYAAATGCACTGAATCACAACATCTGTGTTTGATCTGAAGAGGAGGGGATCTAACCCTTAATTTCAGGGCATGGAGACATCTGGGAAAAAAAGTCCTGTCACACCTCACCTGGGAACTGCAAGTTGCAGAGGGAATCCCAACACCTTTGACCTTGGCTCTTTGAACATACGAGGAATGGATATTAAGCTTCAGTCTCTTTCAGGTTTTTTTTTAGCTCTTCTGACCTTCCATTGGAAAAAGCATGCTGTTGAAGGACCCTGTCATTTTAAATTTCTCTCTTCATCTTCATCATTTTAAATTTCTCTTTTCATCTTCATCAATTTAACAGTTCTGCTATGCAATGGTGATTCCATTTCTTAATTTTTGCTTTTTCTTCTCCGTGTGTGTTTGCTAATCAGTTCACAAAACACTGCATGAAGAGCGGGGAGAAGACCCTCTCCTCTCCTTCATTTGGGCCTTCCACCAGAAAGCGACCAAGCCCAATTTTCTCCCTAGGGTTGTAGCCCAGTGCAACATGCCATTTACGAAGGACGTAAGGGACCATTGGTCACTGCCTCTAGTAAATCATTCCATCAAAGTACGGATAAGAACGGCTTCATCTAACAGTTGCTAATGTTTCATGAAAWATAGCTGGAGAATCCCGGTCCACTGAGGACAGATCAAGGGAAAGGATGAAGATTAAAGCAATTGAACTACCTAAGGGCACAGCTCCCGTTTCCAACTCGGAACAACTTGTAAGCAAATCATATTAATTGAGCAGCTCATAGGTATCACCACACAGTTTTGTTCAGTCTGTAAGTGCTAAAATTTGTGGTTTTTTTTTTTCAGTTGGTGGAACTGAAATGAATTTCTAAAGGCACTCAAGTGCCTGAAGATGCTGAAACGCCTATTGGGATTTRCAGGAGTGCCTGTTTCTGAGTATCTCAACAGGTATCTCCCACCTGCCCCTGGAAGCTCCAGAAACACTGGAGATGCATTAACAAAGCTGAAGTCCTCCAACCAGGGACCAAGCTCTGTCCTTTGGCCACCTGGCACAAATCAGTTCATGTGCACACTGTGGGAGATACCATTTGGTTCTTCTCCTTAGGCCCCTGTGATTAGTACATAACTATTACTATTGAATGTGTATGTGTATTTTTAGATCAAAGGACCCAAAATAAAACAGGATCTGTGATGCAGCTGACCTTATTGGATTATACTGAATATGTGTGTTACCTGCCTTTAAGTGTGGTGTGAAAATATATGAAGCTTCAGAGAGTCCAGATCTTGATTGGATGGTGCTGAGGGCTGGGAGACTTAGGCTAAGCCATGCTGCTTGCAGAGCGTTCTCCCTGAAGTAAAATATCCCCAGACCTGTGCTCAGGTTTAGTTTCAGAGTTCATTCTGGACTGATCTGAGTTGGGAATGGACTGATGTACGTAGAGTGTGGACAATCAAGGGACCAAGCAGTGGAGAATTCATGCAYTGGAAAATGAAGATGCAACATAAAACTCAGATTCTCAAAACCAAATGAAGAAAAAAAAGACATGGCTTGAGCATTTACAATCTTTTTGTCTATGAATAGGAAATTTTTCCATGCCCTTGGGACTGCATCACATCTGTGCAAGAAGACATTAGGAAATGAACTTATATAGAAAAGCTTACAGTCTTGCTCTAGGTAAGTTCGTTGTTCCTTTGCTAACCCACAGCGAAACACGGTCACCAGCAAAACCTGTTCTGAAAGGCATTGGATCTGGTATTGTGCATGCTTTTCAGAGTTATGCTGAGCTCTCCTGGAGAATGCTTCTTACTCTGAAGATTAACCAAGGGTAACCTGCCCCTTGTGYCTCAATAACGAGGTAGACACGAGAGGACATTTACTGGCAACTTCTGTGGATGATAATACAGAGCTTAAAAGATGCCTAGTGCAGAAAGGAGACACTTTTCCCTGAAGGTGCACGTAGCAGAGTGGTAACTGCTAGAGGTCAGTAGGCCAATATTTGATTGCACATGGTTAGTCCTTGTGTCCAGTTCGGACACCTTCCTGCGAGCAGCCAACAGAGACTGAGAAATCAGCAGGATTGGTCACCCTTCCTTTCATTGCTTAAATTATTTACTTTTCTGTATCCTCTTCCCCTGGCAGCTGATTTGTCAGCGCAAGTGAAGCAGCTAGAAAAAGAGTTGTGGCTGCAGCAGGAATATTACAGCAATTAGAAAGGGCCATAAACAGTTTCCTATATGTGAAACCGCTCATTGAATTTGACAAGCAGCCTTTTCTTTTTCTCCTAGCCTCCAAATACAATGCAGCCTCTTTCCCTTTCATAAATGCCAGCACTTTTTTTTCATTCCCACCAAGGGTCCTGTGCACTCAGGTCAATACACTTGCAGACTGAATGAGACCTTTCTCCTCCCTCGGAATGTCTTGTGGATAGAATTAACACTGATTGAGTATGTCACAGTCCTACTGTAATTTACAGAGACATCATGAAACCATGCTCTTCTGGCACTGGTCCAGCTGTCAGATGTAATAGAAAAATAAAACAGCTTCATCTACCCCAACAGCACCACTCTCCTTAAGCCACTGGTTTAAGGTTATTACATGTTACCTTGTGTCATTTGGATATGATTGATGAGGTACCAGCAAATGTTACTAGCCCATTCCCACTAGTGATAGGCAAGTACCAAATATCTCAAAAGAGTAGCTGAAAGGGTTGTCTTGGGCTCATTTCCATATTTTTCCATATTTGAGAAAAGATAGGGAAAATGCTACCACTGAAGGATGCTATAAATTACCCTACACTATAGTGAATAGGGCTGTAAGCTGCTGAGATTTCGCCAGTCTCCATAACCAGTTACAAAGATTCCTTCATTTACATAACATCAGAGGTTTGAAGCAGCATAATATCTTAGAAAATGGGACAGATGTAGATTTTAAGAGGTTTTCTAGGCTGCCTGTTCATCCATGGAATGCAATAAACTTTTCCCAACTCCACGTTATCTACTTGATTCAACAACTTTGGGTCAACAACAATTGTGGTTAATGTTTGCCTTGAAGATATCTTCAGTACTAGCTTGCCACTTTGAAAATGAGAAATTAGTGTGTCTTGGAGAGGAATTTATCCTGGAGAATCCTGAGTTGGGCTGCAGTGCAATGATGATGAGTACTCAGCATCTGCTGAGGATGAGCACTCAGCAAAGATCTGCTGCTAGCAAGGACCAAAACAAGCATTCACTTAGAGACCAAGAAAACCCAGGTGGGGACAGGTGTGGATTTGTTTTCATCTAGGTGCAGCTTCACTTCTACATCTGGTTTGGTTTGTCTCTGCTCCAGAAAGATGCTGCTGAACTGGAGACAGTTCAGGGCAGAACAACAAGAACAACCAAAGTTTTGGGGATAGGGATGGCAGGAGCAGCGGGAGGACCCTTGTCTAATAATGAGAGGCTTCTACTGCTTGGTGGTAAGGAGAGAAGGTTAAAGGATGAATTTTCATTGTCTGTAAAGTGCTTGCTTGGGGAACAGTAATTTGAGAGGAGAGAGCTCTTCAGTTTGGATAACAAAAGGATAACAAAACCACTGGCTGAGAGCTGCAATGAGGTGTATTTTCTGAGACTGAAGCATAACAAAACAAACAGTTGGAGGAAGGGAAACCACCGGTGACGGGTGCTAAAACTCTCCACTTCCAATGGTTACAACTTGCACTTCAATACATCGTAGCAGGATATTTGAAAGAGAAGATTGGGAATAGTGCAYGTGCCTCTGCAGAGGCAAGAAATGAGAGCTCTTTCCTTAGCTGAAAAGTTCTGTCCCCTTTCTCAAAGAGCAATGTTAATTACAGATGAATGAATGTGCAGATTACCCTTATTCCCATAAGAATTCCGATATTGTCTTTCTCTTGAGACAAAAACACACTTCAAAATCTTCTCCAGCCTAGAAATGTTAGACTTTGGCTTTAGGAACTTCAATACAAAGGATTTTTTAAAGTCAATTCCCAAAGCAATATATCTTGAGTTTGTTACCATGTTCCTCAGTATTTTGTAAGAAGTCACACCCTTTATCAAACAACATTTTCATATTTTGGCACTTTCCTTGTAATTTCATTTTGCCCACTACCATCTGTGTGCTATTGGCTTTGTTCTTTGACTGAACTAAGTCTCCTGTAATGGACTTTGCCGTCTGACTCTCTCAATGCATCACGTTGCTTAGGCAGTAAAGCTCTGTCTTTTGCACTACAGGGTGTGTAGTTCTTCAGTGAACTCAGCTCAGAAAGCAATTTAGATTTTGGAGGTCCCACTCTGCGAATGCAAAGCCCACGTGAAAGGAAAATGTCACTTGACGCGGAAATTATGATGTATTTGAAGCCTTTACTTCTTATCAAAAAGACTATGGTGAAAATCAGGTGCAAAATGAGGCATTTCATCACAGTGTCATATAAATCAAAGATCTTCTCACACCATATTTCAAATGTGTAAAAGAGCCCTGATGGGATTCCTGATTGGCCAAAAAGTCCATTACTGGTTTCCATGGGATGTGCTCACCAAAGGTAGTGGCAGTTTTTCCACTGTGGGATGGTGTTAATCAGAGATCTGATTTGCCTTTTTCAAAACAAAAGAGAACTTTAGGTAGGTCAAAAACTCAGGACTTTGTGAACATATCTCTAGGAGCTCTTTCTTAAGAAAACAAGTGAATAGATGTCCTTCCTAGAGATAAGGATATGAATGTGCACCAGTGCTATCATGGTGTTCAGCAGTGCAAGCCCAAAGCTTCTGACTGCCAAGCATTCAGATGGACAGTGCAGTTTTCATCCAGACTCATTGCTCCCGAGCAGCTGGATGCATCCATCCAGCCAGAGTGAGAACTGATTATGGGAATCATCCAGATTGTCATTCCTAGTTGTTCCCTAGGCTACTTACAGACTAATGCTGAACTATTGCTTCTTCATRAATTGGAAGTACCGCATTCTCCAGGGCCCCATCCATGTATATGAGGACAGAGTAGAGCCGTATGGATGGAACAACACAACTTTTTGTTAAAATTAAGTCATCCAAAGGAAAACTCATCCCTCAAGGCCTGATGTGGGTTTCTTCAATGGCAAAGAAAAGTCTTCTGATGATTTCAAGAGAAGAAGGAACAACTACATGTGCTCGGTGGTAGCAGTCCTTGCATCTACCAAAGTTTGTACACAAACTGCTTCCTCAGTATGTGGAAAAATGTGTTGACAGTCCCTAGGAGGCAGATGAGAGCTGAGTTGCTGACGACTTGGCCGGTGGAGTTCACCAAAGCCTTTGAAAAGAGGCCCACCAAAGTGGCAGCTACTCTGTCTGGCTGGAGGTTGTTTTGCAGTTGCRTGGTATGAAAGCACAGCTTGGGGACATCTATCCAGTTTCAGCACATATCAGTGCAGGGAGGGAAGTATTTTATGTCCCCGGAGGAGTGGCCCAGATAGAAAACATCCAAACTGATTACTTTATTCCAAAGGGATCCACAAATACTCAAAAATATTGTTCTGCCAGGCAGGGAGCAGAGTTGAGGTCAGTTATATAGGACTTAGATTTCAGCTCTTATCTGGTTATGGTTTCCCTTTTCCACTACTTTCCTTGCTCTTTGTTCTGCAGAGGAAGGTGGCTGTGTTATCACCATATAGTTGATTAATGCCCCTTTTTAGATGTGGAAAATAACCTTTGAATTATCCTCTGTGTTATGACTTAAGATGAGTACAAAAGGCCATGTTCCTGCTCATATTGAAGTCTGAGACAACAAATGTATTGACCCTGATAGAACTGTTATCCTAAGACACATGTAGGGTCTATCAGACCAAGGGTTTATTTGCTCTCTTTTCTTCACTGTGTAAGCACAAAATATCTCAGATAGAGACATCACAACTGCCACCCACACTCTGCCAGGTGTAAAARAAAAAAAAAAAAAAMCAAGAAAAAAAAAGGAAAAGAAAAAAAAAGACCTTGTGCTTTCATCTCTATCAGCCAATATCCATGATCCAGAAAACAATGGTCTACTTGTCTCATAGATTATATAGATTATCCCGTAGACTCCTCACTTTCTGGAAGTGGTTCCCAAGGCAAGATTCAGCTCCTTGGCTTTTAGCTGAGTAAATGCCAAGTGTCCCTTCCAAAGCAGTTGTTTACTATCTCTTTGCAACCCAGAGAGAGAGATCAGATGAGATGACTCAAACTGGAGGTGCCTGTGTGGGGGATAGAAAGGGAGACCAATATTAGGGGAGATGTTTCATTCTGCATGCTGCCCTAAGCATGATCCATATTTAAGGCCCATCAGAATCACAAAACAGACAGTACTGACTGTTTTATCCTGGGAACTCACCTTCCAAACAGTCCTTGCATAGACCATTGGTGGAGGAAGACAGAAGTCCCCATCTCTCCTAGTACAGGAGGTCGACTCTAACCCACCCAAATGATTAGAGGACAGTGCATAAGTCTGTCCATTGTCTGAAAGGACATGAACCTTCTTGTCCCCCATGAGTGTGCTGACAATATGGTGCCAAATACTCCAGCACAAGGAGATCCCTACGTCTGCTGTTGGAGCTGCTTCCCTTTGTCACAGAAGATGAGAAAGAGTGGACATCGTTGGAGCAGTGATTACAGACCACCCTTTCCTCTGTCTAGCCATTATAGCACGTTCTCCTGTATCTACCCTGACTCTAGCAG